CTTTTGTTGTTAACTGCAAGAAACAGCAACTGGTTAAAAGACATGGCTGGTGCCCATAACAGAATTTATGGACGGGATTTACTTGTGCATTCACCCATCCAGGATTTCCTCTGCCAAGCTAAAATATAGCTAGGAGGTAGACCAAAGCCAGTTTGGTCCAACGCTGCAACCAGAGAGGATAGAAGAAATTATCATTTCCTGCATTAGTGTTGTTTTTCTTAGATTCATGGGAAAATAGCCAGTATCAGAAAAAAAAACCAATTCTAATTATAGTAAGTCATATAATGTCACTGTTAACAATTATTTGCCCATTGTAGAAGTGAAAGTTAGGATAGAAGAAAAAGCTGATTTTCATTGCTAGACAAAAGCCTTGATTTATTTTGCATCGTAATTTTATTGCTTCCCTACTTTTTAAACAACTTTCTCATAACAGCCGCTTCTCAGTGCCTCCTTATCTCAAGTTCAGCTCGCTTCATTCAGTTCATTATCTTTCTTTCCAAGAAGACCAATATTTTGTTTAAATAATAAAAAAACAGGCATAGAAATCTGCTGGAAGTGTTTTTTAAATTATTATTATTCTGGTTGAATCCTGCTCATTCTGCCTACATGCATCTTCATGTAAATTAAGAATAGATCAGGCAGCTCCAGGGTGCTGTGTGGTGTAAAAGGAGGGGAGAATTTGGCTCCACTGCTTTTAGACAAGGCCAAGAAGTCCCCTTCTTTCTCTTTACCTTTGATGGAATATTTATGAAGCTCCCCTGACACCTCGTGTAAAGAATATAGATTTTGTCACGTGCTAAGAGAGAGGGAAGAAGGAGGGAGGAAGAAACACTGAAATAAGGTCAAATTAAGTGAGATCCTTTAAGGACACAAAAATTTGATTTTGCAATAGAGAGTGTTGCTTCGTTATTAACATTGTCTCTGGATAAAGATTCAGGTGATTTTTTAAAAAGAGTGCTAACAATGCTGTCTCACTGAAATCATCCAATTGATTGCTGAGAACCACCCAACCGCCTGAGAGGAGTCCAGTGTTAAAGCAGAGAGGCTGAGGTTCAAGATAGCCCAGCATCTTCGGCTGCCCTAGGAGCCCTTTCATAGAGTATATAAATGCAAGAGCAGGTACAGTGGTGCCTCGCAAGACGAATGCCTCGTGGGATGAAAAACTCACAAGATGAATGGTTTTGGCGATGTGGTTGATGACTCACAAGTCAAATGTTCCTATGGCCCTGCTTCGCAAGACGAATGTTTCCCGTTTTTTGTTCCTGCCTCATGTTTGCTGATTTTTAAATGTTTTTCTATGATGTTTAAAAAGTTAAAGTTTTTTGATTGAATTTTTTGAAATCATCTGCACAATATGTATGGCTTTGAAGAGCACTTAATAAATCCTTTGTAAACCAAATTTGACTTTGTTCTGACTTTTTTTGCCCATAGGAATGCATTAATTAGATTTCAAGCATTCCTATGGGAAAATGCATTTGCAAGACAATTTTTTCGCAAGACGACATTAACCGTGGAACGAATTTAATTTGTCTTGTGAGGCACCACTGTATTACTTTTATTAATGATGATGATGTGCTATCAAATCAAGTCTGACTTATGCCGACCCTTTTCAAGGTTATCTAGGGAGAGAATACTTGGAAGAGGTTTACCGTTCCTACTATCTTCTGGGGGCAATTCTGGGACTGTGCAGCTTGCCCAAGGCCACACAGGCTGGTTCTCATTGCAGGAGGCACAGTGGGGGAATCGATAACTCCCAACCTCTGGCTCTACAGCCAGAGACCAAAACCACTGAGCTATTCAGCCAGCTCAGTTTACTATTAGACCACTGAAGAGTCATGGCAAACAGCGAGCTTTTGATGATAATTCATCTTCCTCAGGCTGTGCACCAAAATTTTGTGAGTAGCTCAGAAAAATTATATGTTACAGTCCCAGAAGGCCATGCCAGGTCTGCTTCATAAGTGGGTTTAGAGGCAGCCTGCACATAACTTGTGGATATTTTCAAGGAAAGTGTGATATTTAAGGAGTGGTTTTACCAGTTCCGTACCCCCAGTGAGTTTCCATGGCTGAATGGGGATTTGAACTCAGGCCTCCAGAGATTTAGTCCATCACTTTCTCCACGACACAACACTGACTTGGTTTCCCAGAGATCTAATAAAGATATCAGCTGCCCTTGCATTTGTATTGTTCTGGAGATCACAAGGCCTTTTTGTAATTTTTTTTTCAAAGTATGTGGTTGCTTCTGGGGCAGGGAAGGCACTTTGCACATGCTTGAAAGCTTTACCTTCCATATTCCCACATCCTGTTCCCAGAAATGCAAAACAGCTGTCCTGGTCATGCTGGAGTGAAAACAAGCCCTGTCTGAGTGGCACATCTCTCACT